ATTCTCTCATTCAAATACCATAAAGAAGTACAGTATGGTTAAATAAATGTTTCATCTAGATAATTAAGCAAAATCTCATCTTTTTTGATGTAATTAACATCCTTGTTGGATAATCTTTTTTTAATTCATGCAAGATTTTCCTCCTTTGGGTGTGCTCTGACCTCTTACACGCCCCTTCAAAAATAAAAAATGGTTTGGCAAGCTGAAATTACACATTAGACATCGTCGGTGCTTATGGGTGACGGTCGTTTCGTCTCCTAAAGATAACCAGAGGGTGAAGTGTGTGTGTGTGTGTGTTGAGTGTTTTTGGTGGTTCTGTGTTGTCATGACCTCATCATTGCATGCTTCTGAGACAGAAATCAATCCACAGCAGTAAGAAAAAATTCAGTTTTACTTCTCTTCGCTTTCCTCGTCCCTTACCATTTGGTTTATGACGAAGTTATAGGTGAATATGGCTCAGCGTAATGGAATGTAGTACCTACGAGTCCTCTGCTACCCCAAAAACAAACCTCCTCCTTCAAGAGTAATCGTCTCATTACAAGCTTGCCGCTGTAACAGTCTGTGTGCTTTGCCGGGGGTTTTATGGCCTCATCGAATCCTGAGGTGGCTTCTCTAAAGAGCCCGGCAGGGCAAGCATTCGTGGATGAAGTCGTCTCTATAGCGGTAGTCGTCAGCTCTCTAGACAACAGTTTAATATACGGTGATGCATTTGAATAAATCGAGGTTTTAAAATGTGCGACGTCGTACCTCCAGAGCAGTTGTTCCAACTGGGTCGGGGCCTCCACTAGGGGTCGCCAAAAGATTCACAAAGGGGGTCGCAGGGTCTTTTTGATTTAAAGGGTGTAAGAAAGTTTTAAAATTATACATTTTAGGCCTTAAACTCACCATTTTGTTCACTAACGGTAACTGTTTGAAGAAGTGTGTCACATTGTAGGATTTTATTGCTAATTATTAACCTTGATTGATTGATTGATTGATTGAGGTACAATTTCTTAAATTCAGCTCAATAAAGTGACAAAAATTAAATAAGCAAGTTTTTCAGTGGCTGATTTTATGTTAGTTTTAAGAATTCAGCTTAATAACAAAAAATGTGATTATATTTGAGAGTATTTGTTTGGTTTTTGTATGAATGAACAATGGAAGGGCATCAGAAAGAGGAGAACTGAAAGGAAGATGATTAAGTCTGTATGATGATATAAAAATATACATAATACAGACGGAGAATTGTATAAAAAGTTCCCTAAAACAGGAATTAATTCACTGTTTGGGTTCATTGTACAGTTTAAATATAATATTAAATATCCATAAAATAAATCACTGAGTCAGTTTATTAAATGATAGAAAAGGTCTCCTTCAACTGCATTAGTGATATATGACACCATTAATTGGAATTAACATTTTTTGGACATTCACATTAATTTCCACTGAATTAACTATTAAATATGATGATGTGACATTTGTTGAAGGTTCGTAATAAACAAATCACTGTAAATCAGAGAGATTATAATCAAACAAATCATATCCATCAGTCTGTGTTACAGACAAACAGCAGATTATTGATTTAAAAAGGTGATTTGTGGTTGTTATCGGCTCCCCGGAGGAAGTTTCCCCCAGAAGGCTGCGGTTTATAAAAACCACAGGAATGTGTTGCTTATTACAAAAAGCAGCTGATCAGTTATCTTCATCAGCTGTTGACAGGAATATTCCCTGAACCCTCCTCATCCTCCTCCTCAGTCATCAAACACACAGCCTGTGGATCGTGACTCCGGCGGCTGATGAATGGAGCTGGATGTAAATGGAGAAATAGTGCGAGCGTCTTTCACTCCGTCTCTTTCATATTAGAGATTTTATTCAATCTTCTTTCATCTCGTCTCTCTGGATCTTATTTTCCTTCCTCTCTATCCTCCAAGAATCTTCTGTCTCGCCTTTGTTTCACACTTTCTCCCACCACTGCGTGTAATGTGTAGTCCCTTATATATGTGTGTGTGTGTTACAGTAGTAGCAACTGACCTCTGTTATATAAAGCTCATCGTCACACCATCACACGAGTTAAAGCTACTGACGCCTGTTAACAGGATCATTTAGTTTAAACAAAGGTTTTCACAACCTGCACGGATCTGAAGAGCACTTATTTGGGGTTGTTGCAGCTTTTCTAAAAAAAAAACTGCGATGAATGTTTGCAATCTTTTTTACTAATTGTCAACAAACATTTTCGGGGTCACGAGAGGCTACATTTGTTCTAAAAACTACTTATAAGTAAACGTGTAAGTGTTTTATTTACCTCTTGGTACATTATTTATTAACATCTTTTTAATAAAATAACAGATCTATGGCAGCTAACATGGCGGGAAGGAACAGAGTTTGCCGATTTCACAGGGTTTGTTTTGGGATTGTTGCAGCCTAAAATGTTCACAGCAGCTTTGCTATAAAACTGCGATGAAAGTTGCGACATTTTTAGGTATTTTCTTGCAATAAAATTACAAGAAAATTAAGAAAATAGACCATAGACAAATTGTTTTGTATAGTTTGTTTAAAATCGAACAATAAAACTGCTCGTGGTTTGGTGACATTTTGTGCGTCGGGCTGCTATGATCGGTGAAAACATCGGGAAACTCACAACGATTGGTCAAATTAGCGGAATCTGATCGCAACATCGCAACTTCTCGGAGACACTGATTGAGTCCCAAAAGGGCAAAAACACGAGCAGATGATGATTAAGTAATCAAGTATTCAATCAATCAGCAGCAGGGGGAAGGTTAGCATCGGATAATAAAACAGAAAAAGGAAATAAAGACTTTTCACATGAGTTCAACATGATTTTATATACAATAAATAAAGGAAATACGGAGGCTCAGAGGGGTCAAAAGAACTGAAAAAGCCACAACTTGCAGGTCATTTAACGAGAGATTTAATAAAATATTAGTGACCATAAAACATTCGTCAGACTCACAATATTACTGTGTGACTCGGATTTAAAGACTTTTTAAATAAACTTTACGAGCTTTAATTGTCGCTAAATAGATTCACCAACTTTTAATAATTTATGACTCCTCGTAAAATATGATGATGAGGAAGTTGAGGTCACTAAAGCCACTATTTTAAAATGTTTGATGATATTTCTCTTCACTTTCTCACTTCTGCTTTCATTTCTCAAATCTTACTTCGTCTTTTCTTTCATCCTCTTCCTCTCTCTCTCTTCCTGTCTCTCTCTCTCTGTCTGTCTTGCTGTCTCTCTCTCTCTTTCTCTTCCTGTCTCTTTCTCTCTCTCTCTCCCTCTCTCTTCCTGTCTCTTTCTCTCTCTCAGTCTCCCTCTCTTCCTGTCTCTTTCTCTCTCTCTGTCTTTCTCTTCCTGTCTCTTTCTCTCTCATCAGTCTCCTCTTCTGTCTCTTTCTCTCCTCCCCTCCTCTTCCTCTCTCATCTCTCCCTCTTCTCCCTCCTCCTCTCTCTTCCTGTCTCTTTCCTCTCTCCAGTCTCTCTCTCCCCTCCCTCTCTCTCCTGTCCTTCTCTTCTCATCTCTCTCCATCTCCCTCCTCTCTCTCTGTCTCTTTCCCTCTCTCAGTTCTGCTCTCCCTTCCTGCTCTCTCCCCTCTCTTCTCTCCTCTCTCTTCCGTCCTCTTCCTCTCCTCAGTCTCCTCTCTCTGTCTCTCTCTCTCTCTCTTCTCTCTCTCTCTCATGTTTTATTCAGCCAGTGATCGAGGTTCCCGTTCCGCCCCCTGCTGGCAGCGGTGGCCATTCTTGTGTAAGGCGCTTGAACTTGCC